CGGTTTCTTTAACTGTTCCAATTGTATATTCACCGGTTATTATACAAATTTGTCCAATGCCTACATAAGAAACATCGCAATTAATGTTAGTAAACTTTAATCCATGAATTGTGGTTTGATAAAGAACAGCTGGTTCTCGCTCATATTTTCGGTCATATTCTAAGATTAAGATGTAAACTCCTTCTCGTGGAATAATAGAATTAATTTCGGAATCCGTGGAATTAGCGTAAACAATCGCGTATCTACCATCCATCATTGAAATTACTGTGGATATAGAATCTTTAAAATCAAAATTATCTTTTACTAGAAATTGAATCATTCCATCTTCAGTTCTATATATATAAATAAATAAATAAATAATATAAATTAATAAAAAATTTGAATCTTAATTAATATATTGATTAGCCTTAGTATGGTAGATTACATTTTGTATCTCTCAAATTCTAATTCAGAAGTGTTTGTTATAGGTGTTACACGGAGAAATCCTTTATCAAAATTATAATTTACAAAAATCGCTGCTTGGCCTGGTACCCATTTATTAGTGGATGCATCTACATAGGTAGATTTAAATGTAACTTTACTGCAAAAAAGAAATATAAATTAGTTTAAAAGGATTGATTATTTCTTTAATAGAAATTTGAATTTTTCTAACCCATAAGTTGTTCCATTTAAATCAATAACTATTGCCATTTCATTGTAAGTTAGGGGGTCATTTAGGTCCGTGGCCTCCACGTAAGTTACTAACAAAAAATTACTTCTTATAGGATAAATTTTAATAGTGCTTTTAATTCCGTCCATTTGGTAAAGGCAAAAGTTAAAGTCTTGTATATCCAATGTAATATCAATTGGTACAACTTTCCCATCAGGATAAATCGTACGAAGTGACAAATGTTTATCTAACCAAAGTTTATCTTTTTCTCTATCGCGTGTTAAATCTACACGAACTATTCGAATGACTAACTTGTCATCAGGGTAGGTAACTAAACTAAATATATTGGATGCAGTAGAACTGGAGTTCCCAGTTGGCATGTCATAATATGTAAATAAATTTTGTGATTCTATTGGTAATATAACAAACGAAATAATTGTGAAAATTCTGAAAACTAATGTATAATCTTTAAACTTCATTTTGAAAATTTATATAAGTCTGAATTATCTAATATATGATAATAATAATAAAAAAAATTGAAGTAAAAAACGGATTTTTAATCTTTTACAGTTTTAACGATTTAGAGCAGATACATATTTATATTAAAAGCCATTTCTATTTAATTTAATAAAACTCCTTTTGGGTTTCATTAGTCTTATCGATATTTAATATTACCGTTTTATCTTTAGATGCATAATCTAGAATAATTTTTTTTTATCTCGCATAATAAGATCAGATGGACAATTGTACAATAATAATAAATGTGAAACATGTGATTAATTTATAATTAATATTTATTTTTTTTAAAAAAAAAACTTCTTATATCCTATCCCAAAAGAAATAAAGCAAATTCCCTTTTTTTTAAAAAAATTTAAATAATTTATATTAAAAAAAAATGCTTCTTATTTATATCATTGAACTTAAGATCATATGAGCCAGAAAAATCTTTGAAATTTTATTTCACTTGTTTTTCTCTTGCCACATTTAGCTTAGAAATGATTTTCCAAATTTTTTTTGTTATAGGTGGTGGTGGTATGGCTTTTTCACCTTCACCTTTGATATTTTCGGGAAAGGAAAAGTTATTTTGAAGTAACTCCTAAAACCGCAGTGATAGATTTTCTAGTATGTAATAGGTATATTTTTCTTTCTCCATTTTTAACATTTTTTTTTTTTTTTGAGGTTCTTTTTTCGCTGCGTTCAAATCAAAATAAATGTCACGAAAATCACGTGGTATTTCTGCCTATCCATTCCAGCAACTCGGAATAACTTTTTATACTCATGAACGAACCCTCATCTTGTAAAAAAAAATAATGTTTTTAAAAAAAAACAAAAAATATATTGAAATATTTGATTAATTTTTTAATATTTGGCTTTATTTTTCTATTAAATAAAGATTATAATAAAATTTGGCTTAAAATTATTTTATAAAGTTTAATATCTATTTTTTTTAAAAAAAATTAAAAAACTAATATCGACTTTGCCGATTTTTGATTTTCAAGATTCCAATCCCATGATTTTGTTATTAAATGTTTATCTACAGAGTCCTTTCTTTTATGGTTAACTTTTATATTGCAAAATCGACACCTTAATACACGGCTTTTGTAAAATATAATTCTCTCGATATTCTATACTTTGTGACAAGCGTATGTGAGGAGAGCAATTTTTTTTTTTTGAGCAAAAATTAGTTGATAAAATTTAGATCATCAATTCACGTGTGAAAATCACAAAATTTCACTGAAAATCGCGATCACCAAAAAATCATGATCAACAAATCTACCCTAAGTGGATTTTTTCTCGAGTCGGGTCAAATGGGCCGGGTTGATTCGACCGGTACACTAGTCCTGGAACCCTATTTTACTAAGCTTCCTTATCATTTAATAGGAACCAGACAAGAATTAGTAAAGATTTTTTATTTAAATTACTTAAAAAACTAGGTTCTTTATGATGACGAAGTGTTAAATCAAGGTTCGCAAAAAAAAAAAATATTTTTTCAAAAATTAAAGTTGGATTTGATTGGCAGTTTTGAATTTTATAAATAATTAATGAAATTGACAAATGTTTCAAAGCGGCTGTTGAAGCTAGAGATTGGAATCCAAAAATTGTTGAATCGATTTGAAACGATTAATCTCAATTGATCCTAAAGCTCTGATTCTAGCGATTTTTTTTAATCATAAATTAAACGCGGACAATACCAAATGATTTATATTTACAAAAAATATTTTATGATAATTAAATATCTAATTCAGTTTCACTAGCAGATATTCTAATAATTAGGATGATGATGATTCATTCTTTATTGGATTAGTAATTTAGCATCACATCATATTTAGATTTCCAAAATTTCTTTATAATTCCATTTTTATTTTATCGTTTTGGCCGCAGCAATTAGAGTTTTATAGTGAATACACTTCATATTATTATTTTATTATTTTTTAGAAGCTTCTGTAAAATTTTTAATAATTAAGTTCTTTATCGTTAGATCGTTTTTTAGTTTTTAATTTTTTTTTTTTTACTTTCGGTCATCATTCCTTTTTTTTCAAGGTTTTTCTTAAGAATATTCTTTCATCATTATTTTATTTTTTTTTTTTCAAAAGCATTTGCTGTCGAATCGCTCAAACTACGCCCCATCATCAAAATCTGCGCCACTCACAAGGATTTGATTTTTTTAATTTTCAATCAATTCGTTTTCGGTAGAATCGAATCCAATCCCTATTAAGTTTTTTTATATTGAAAATTTTTAACATCATTCATGAATTTCAGCAAATTATAGACTCATAATATTTAACTCTTGCACATGAAATTATATTCAATGGTTAACTCTTAAATATTAAAGTTACAATGAATGACATTCATTAGATTATTGCTATTTGATTAAATAAACAATTTGTTTTGTTTTGTTTTAAATAAATGTCGTACAAAGTTTTTACGTGACTATTGCAAATCAACGATCAGGTAAAATTAATCACATGAAACAATTTGAGCCAATTAAAATATTACTGGTAATAATCTACCAAATTAAGATGATTTTTTTTTTGCCTTGCATCAAATTTTTAAACTATATAAACTTGACACATTGTTTGTCCAAAATAAATTAAGCTTTGCAGATACATCTTCAAACTTAAAAAATTAATTTTTTTTTTTAAAAATAAAAAAAATGTTGAATAAAAAATATGTTGAATGGTTAGAAAATTCCATTGCTAATAAATATATCAACCATTTCGAATATTCAGACTTTCAGGATTGCAGAAAATTAGGAAATGGTGCATTTGGAGAAGTTATGCATGCTTATTGGAAAAGTCAGGGCTGTCATGTTGCTTTGAAATCTTTCAATAATAATAAAATGTCTCTGAAGAATATTGCAAAAGAGGTATAAATATATATTATATTTAATTATTTTATATAAATCAGGCTAATTAATTTATGTTAAATAACTTACAGATAAGGTTACATAAAGAAGTTGATTTTCATTCAAATATTATACGAATTTATGGAATCACGGAAGAAACCGGTAAGTTTTAGAAATAGTATATAATATAAAATGCTTAATAATTTTATACTAAAATTCTTATTCTTAATTTATCACAGCATATACAATTAAAAAATACTCTTTAGTCTTGGAATTTGCCGATAGTGGCACATTATATACATATTTAGAAGAGCATATCAAAGAACTTGATTGGTGCGACAAATATCAGTTAGCTTTGCAACTGGCAATGCTGTAGAATTTATGCATTATCATGATATTGTTCATCGTGATCTGGTAAATAATCAACTTCGTAAATTATTGTTTAATTTTTTATTATCGTCTTTATTATCTTTATTAACTAATATTTAATGTAAATTAGCATGCAAATAATATACTTGTACACCAGAAAGCAATTAAATTAGCAGACTTTGGTCTATCAAGAAAAATTGCAGATATCAAGTAACGATTCAAAGTTAAGGGGAGCATTACCCTATGTGGATCCAAACAGCTTAAATTATAGAGAAAATGATAAATACAAATTAAATAAAAAATCAGATGTCTATAGTATAGGAGTTTTGTTGTGGCTGATTTCAAGTGGAAAAAGACCTTTTGAAGATACTGATTATGATGTGAAAATATTGACTCTAAGAATACTCAAGGGAGAAAGAGAAACTTTCATTATTGGTACTCCTATTGAATATCGTAACCTATATGAACGTAAATATGTTTATAATATTTCATTTTAAATTTTTATAAAAATAGACTTTTAATCTCAACACATTTAATTTAGAATGTTGGAAATATGATCCAGATGAACGACCAAATATTTGGGATGTTGCTTCAACCCTTAGAGCGATTATTTCTATTTCTTCTAAACAAAGTAACATGACAATTTCGCAGAATCTACAATCTGTTCAATCGGATAAAAAATATTCGTCAAGTCAAGTTATAAATTGGAATCAAAAACAACAAGCTGGAGAAAATAGTCTCAAATTTTGGTATCAAAATGCAACAGAAAATGATGATAAGGATGCACAATATAACCTCGCACTTTTACATGAAAATGAAAAAAATTCAAAAAAAGCTTTTATTGGTTTAAAAAAGCAGCAGAAGGCGGAGTTGTTGAAGCACAACTTAATATAGCATGTTTGTATTATAATGGTGAAGAAAAAACGAGAAATTTAGAAACGGCAATAGAATGGTTTACAAAAGCAGCAGAAAGCAGAAGTATTGAAGCACAATATGTTCTATCAGTTTTATATTATAACGGTAAAGGAACAAGAAAAAACTTTAAAAAGGCTCTTTTTTGGTATCAAGAAGCATTATCTAATTCACAAAACGGGTTTGGTTATTTATTTAAAAAAAGGGAAGAAATAGTAAAGAATTTAGAAAATGCAATTAATCGTTTACAAAATCTAGAAAAAAATAACATTATAACATTTTCTACATTTGAACCAATAATTGAAATAAATGATAATGTTTATAATGTATGTCGTTGTTGTTTAATGAGGGGGAAAACATTTTTATTAGAAAATCACGATATTTGCATGATTTGTTATCAATATAAATTATTAAATAAGTCAAGTGACAAAATTGTTGATGAATTTATCAAGTATACACAAATAAATTCTGCTCAAGACTCTAGCAGAATGAAATTTATCCCTTATTATCAATTTAAAATTATAGAAATTATTGGTGAAGGTTCATTTGGTAAAGTTTATAAAGCTGATTATTACTACTATGATACTAATATAACAGTTGCTTTAAAACAACTTAATGATTCGAAAAATATTACTTATGAAGAGTTAAATGAGGTAATTTCATTTCATTATTATATAATATATATTGTAAATTTATATTAAAGTTATACTGTACATTATAAATTTAGCTTATCGTGCTTTATAAAATTGGTCTAAATGACGGATATTTAGGTTCCCTACTTTACCTAAACAGAATTACTCAAAATCCTGTTACCGAAGATTTTATAATAGTTATGAACTATTATAAATATGATTTAAGAAATTATATAGCTGAAAATTTTTATAATATTGAATGGAATCAAAAGTTAAAAATATTGAAGCATACTATAAAAGGACTTTGTTATCTTCACTATCTAGATATTATTCACCGAAACCTTCATAGTGGAAATATTTTTTTTGAAAGTAAATATGATATAGTGATAATTGATGCAGGAGTATGTAAATCATCAGATCCTGACGGTAATACGATTCTCGGAATCATTTCTTATATTGCGCCAGAGATATTTATTGATAAAAAGTATACTAAAGCTTCAGATATATATAGTTTTGGCATGATTATGTGGGAATTAATGGCAGGCAGAAGACCTTTTTGGAATCGAAAATATGATCAGAAACTTGTTGAAGAAATTATTCATGGGCTCCAACCTCCTATTGTTACAAATGCACCTGAAGGTTATATTGAATTAATGCAAAGTTGTTGGCACTCTGATTCAAATCAAAGACCAATGTCTATTGATATTATTAAATTTATTGATAAAACCATTTTGAATGAAGAAAAGAATCCAACTAAAATAATAATAAACTCATGTATTGGACCAAAAACTACAAATAATACAGAGAGTATGACAAAAACAATTTTCGGTAAGTCTTATTTTTAAAATAATTATTATCTAATTATTGTTTATAATAATCTTACATCTAGAATAAAAAGCATGAAAACTTGTTATTGATGACATTAATATATTTAAATTTATTATATTATTATTAATATTATTCTAGATGGAAACACTGGAAATAATAGCGAAAATAACGGTAATTAAAAGGAGTGATTACAAATGATTTGATGTCTAATTATTTAATATATTAATTTATTTATTTATATAGACGATGTTACCATGGAAATTGGATATTGATAATTAATTAAACCAAATTAAATTTTGTTTGCTAAATTTTTAATGTCTCTTTGAATAACATGTAAGGAAATATTGTTTTTTAAGAGATTATGATCGGTAATATAAATGTCCAAAGTTAAATTTAATCTCTTTGTCGCTTGAACAATCATAACATCAGGAAGTTTAATATACGTAATATTAATAAAATTATTTTATATTATTTATATAAATATAATACGTAAAAATACGGTTTATACACATATATTACCTAACTATTTATATTATAAATAAATATATAATAATTATATAAATTTTTCCATATTATTAATATGATATTTTATAGAATATTACTTTTATATAATTTTTATAATTATAAGTAAATTACAAATTTATGATATTTTTATTACATGATTTGATTATTTATATGAAGTTAATACATATGAATATTTTACATTTTATGAATTTTGATATAATTTTTACGATAATAAATTAAATTCCAAATTATTTACATGATTTTTATATAGATCATGATTAATATGAATAAAATATACATTTGAAATTTTGATATAATTGTTATAACAATAAATAAATTACACAATTAGTGATTTTTTATACAGATAATTATTAATGTAAATGCATTTATAAATATTATCATAATTAATATATTTCATAATTTTT